CGCCCCGCCCACGCCCCGCCCCGCTCGGCTCACCGTTCGCAGGAGGGCCCCGCATAGCCTGGTCTGCAGAGACACTGCGCGCGGCCACCTCGCAGGACGCAGCCCACAGCGAAGCTGCGGGGACACGCCGTTAGGCCCCTGTACCGCCCTCCGCGCACCTGCATGATCGCCGGGCGGGGCCACCCTGCAGAGGGCGGCGCTGACCCCCCAGGCAGCGGAGGAGGCGCTGGTCAGCTTACTTGTTGGACGGCACCGAGAGGGGACAGGGGCAGCTGGCGCAGGGGGCTGTGGGGTGCTCAGGCCCAGCGCGCACGAAGCCGGCGCTGCAGCGCTCGCAGTGGTCACCCTCCGTGTGGTGCTGGCAGCCCTGGGGCGAGGCACCGGGTCGGGCGCTGGCAGAAGGTGGAGCCCCGCCCCCCGCGCCCAGCACCCTCACCAGTGTCCTCAGGCTGGCCTTGCTAGCCTGCATCACCGCCTGGGGTGCCCAACCCTGGTGCGCACACCCGGAGGCCCTGGTCTCTCCTGCGTCTGGCCAGCGGGACACCCCTGGAGGCCACTTACCACGCAGACGCCTGAGCCGGAGAGGCAGCGGTCTGAGTGGCCATGGCACTGACAGGGGACGCAGCGGCCGAGGAAGAGGCCCTTGATGTCCCGGTAGTGGCCGGGGGCGCACTCCTGGGGGTATCAGAGGTCAGAACCACAGGGCCTGCGCCCGTCACAGCCTGAAGAGCTGCGTGGGGGCCGGCAGGGGCGGCCTTCTGCAGGTGCTCGGGGAGGGGGCGGCCACAGGCCGCCTCCCGTGGGCGGGCGGTGGACGGAGGCCCAGCGGCAGAGTGGAGTGCGTGGTTAGCCACCATGCCCAGGTGGGCTGGAGTGGACACTGGGTGGACAGAAGGCAGGCAGCTGGGAGGAGGGTGAGGGCCGCTGCAGCCGCACCTGGCAGGACGCCCCTCGGTAGCTGGCCGGGCACATGCACAGCTCCACGTTGCTGGCCGGGGGGCCCTCGCCCTCCTCGCCGGCCACCTCGAGCGCCACCCTGCGCAGGGAGACTGCCGAGGAGGTCTGCGAGAAGAGGGCCCGCACGCGCAGCTGCTCCAGTCCGGCCAGCACCAGCATAAGCTCCTCGCGGGACACCGGGCTGTGGGTCTCCGTGTGCCGGAAGCTGCCCTGCGGGCACGGACTGGCCTCAGCCGGGCAGGGCGCGTGGTGGGCACAGGCCCTGGCGAGGGCTCCCGCGGGACCCGCCCTCAGGCCCTCAGAGCCGGCCGCCGACGCCGGGGACAAGCGCTGACCGCCAGGGGCGCGGCCAGCGCGGGCCACCGTCTAGGGGCTCGGGCGGGCAGCAAAGACGGGGCCACAAGCGGTGGGTGAGCGGAGTGTCGCGGGCACCCGCAAGCGGGGATGACCTCGGGCCCGAGAGAAGTGGGCCTGCGGCCCCGGAGCTCGGGCGCCCCCCACACCGCACCCCACTCTCTGGCTGGCCGTGATCACCTCCACCAGCTGCAGCTGCCCGTGGTGGGCCTGGCCGGGCGCGGGGTACTCGGGCTCCAGGAAGGTGACGCTCATCTGGTTTCCCTGCGGAGGCCGCGTGTGAGCAATAGCCCCGCCGC